TATTTATTTATTTATTTATTTATTTATACCCTGCCCATCTAGACCGAAGTCTACTCTGAGTGGCTAACAATAAGACATAAAAGTAACATAATAATAATTTTTTTAAAAAAAAGTGACAATATAATTCAAAATGGAATTCAAAATACTTCAAAATACTTATAATTCAAAATACTTACCTCAGAATCTGATAGTTTTTCAAACTTAGGGGTTATGTAGAATAAAATGCCTTCCCTTGCACCAGGTAGTGTTACTCCACGGAAGAACAAGATAAGCAACATGACATATGGGTATGTAGCAGAAAAGTACACCACCTAATATGAAGAATGAGATGGACAGGATTAAACACAAGGGTCATACTGAATTCCTTCAATGAGTTTAACACTAGAATTGAAAATATAATACTGTAATGGGACATCTGAGAGAAATCTAGCACTAGTCTCCTTTCTTAAGTAGATGCTACAAATTCCATCTCACTGTTGTGTAATGCAGAACAAATTCATGCTCAGTTTTCTTTCATCTAACCTGCTTCTTCAATCTTGCACACTTACTTATCTTCTTATCATTTTTGTTCTCTTTTAAATGCTCACAGAAATCACTTTGTGACGCCTAAGTAATTAATCATGCAATTTGGAACAGAGACAATTCAAACATAGCATTTACATTTAATTTAAGCCACAGCAGTATCCACTGCTTTGAGTTCCTATAAGGAAGGCTGGTCTGTAAGCTGAATAAACAAAGACATCAGTGTATAATGTGCGGTAAACATATTTGAAAATTTCATGGAAAGGTCTACCAACAAGACACATCTATCTGTACCAATGCATGCATTTTTTTTAAAAAAAACTGTGCTGATTAAGATTGCAGTGGGTAGGTTTGCAAAACAAAAAAACAGAACACAATGCAAAAACCCCTCTTACCTTTCCTGTCCAGCCTACCCCTTTCCAGATGCAGAAATAGACTAAAACCCAGGCAATTGCTAAAGTAATGGCTAATGGCCAACGGATCTGTCCTGGTTTTTCCAGTCCGTCTGTCATTTGGTGCATATTACGTCTGGAAAAAAAGAGGAAGTGTATGAACTTGCCTGACTTACCTTTTTTTCAAAAACTAAGCAATCAATTCTACATATGCATAGGAATGAGAAAAATATTCTTCTTGGCTTACTCCCAGAATTCCAAAACAGCACTTGTCATGTTGGTGGTATTTGTTATACTGTAATTGGAGAAACAGCGGTCTGTGTTCCAGGGATTATCACAGTGCCTCCATGGAAGATTCTAATTAAAAAGGTAGGGATAGGGAATGGGGAGAAAAGAACAAAAACAACAGTGTTTTATTACCCAGTATAACCTAAGGTGTATCTACTTTTCAAAAATGATAGCCAATGTGGAAATTAATTTGATTTCAGTTTCTCAGAACATTGATCTCCCCCGGGGTTTGTGTATGCAAAGAATTTTCTTTTCCAAGTCTGTCTTGAATTGCTTTTCCAAGAATCACAGTTCTTTTGAAACTTAAGTGTTCCTGAATTCCATGTACTGAAGAGCCAAAGAATAGGTTGTATTAAGGGACACAAGAGATGGTTTCTAACCTGTTTTTCTCCCAGCATTCCAGATATATTTTTTGTTTGTTAGAAGAATGAAATATGGTTTTATGGGCCTTCTTTTACAAAAATGTAAGAAAAAATATCCAGGTACAGTTGCTGTTGGCCTTGAAGAACATGGTTGTCTCTTTATGGGGCCATCCAGTTATGATGTTAACAGCAGTGCTGGATTTAATCATGACAGCTGATTCTCTTCTTCTCAAAAAGAGTGCATGTATACTCCTAGTAATAGTTTATAGTTTTGAAATATCTTATTTGAGACAACAATGAACACTTTTAAATGCCCTACATTGCTATCGGACCGTGAGCACAAAAGGTTGTTGTATGTCTTATGGTTGTTGCGGGTTTTTGGGGCTCTTTGGCTGTGTTCTGAAGGTTGTTCTTCCTAACATTTCGCCAGTCTCTGTGGCCAGCATCTTCAGAGGACAGCACTCTGTGCTCATTTGGCCAGAGGTGCCCACAGGGCACAGAGTGCTGTCCTCTGAAGATGCCGGCCACAGAGACTGGCAAAACGTTAGGAAGAACAACCTTTAGAACACGGCCAAAGAGCCCAGAAAACCCACAACAACCATTAGATTCCGGCTGTGAAAGCCTTCACAAATACATTGTGGAAGGTTTCCTGAGCGCTTGCATATACCTTGCTATTTTAATCAAGGTTAAAATATTTCATAGGAAAATCAGTTGGCTGAGTAATCCTAAGAGTAACACCTTGAGTATGAATTGGTGTCTATGCCATAAATACCTTAGGTTCAATTTCCACTGTGGTTTTATTAGTTTAGGTGCAGCCTGCCTTTTCCCTTTATTTCTAGTGTACCCAAAGGCATCATGTAATATTAAACAAAACAAAACAAGGTTATTAGATATTGGTCAAAGAACAATTTTAAAAGCAACTATTCTTAAAAGCAGTAAGAAAGCAGTAAAATACAGTTAAAAAACAACAACACACCTATGTGCCCTCCTCCAGTCTTCATAATGTCTGCAGCTAAATTATCCTCCCATTTCATCTAGGTAAGTCCTTATTTGAAAGCCACTGAACACAAAGAAAAAAATAGCAGATTGAAAGCACCTATCTATCCATATAATGGGGCTGTGTATGGGCTAGATGCCACCCTGTTTCATATATGTGGTGCCCAGCCACTCACAGTTATATAGCATACTACGTCCTTGCTCCCAAATCTTGCTTTCACTCTCCATAGTAAAAGACTGTGCTCTTACAGGAAACAGTCACTGCATCAGATTGCTGAGGAAATGCTGCTACTCATGTAGTGTTTTTGATATAGTTTTTGGTAGCTGTGTGAATCTTCTCTCCATGTAAGGAGAGCCCTTTATGCAGCACAAGTAGTGTCACAGTCTCTCAGAAGAGCACTGGTGTGCAGCAATGGCTATTGCTAGTACAATCCAGGAGGTAAAACTAGAAAGTCAAAGTGAAGTAAACAAAAAGCCTCAGTGTATCCAATGCCACTTTCTGTGTCGCATTTAAGGCAGTGACATTGCAAACACTATTGTGCTTTCCAGTTACATATCCTCAAACACATTCATATGTGAGAGAAACAAGAATCTCTAGCATAGCGATGTTTTCAGGGCAGAAATGGACAGGATGGCAGGTTCATCATTATTTGCTTTAAAAAGTAAATGATGTTTGATTATCTTTCAGCAGTGTTTCACAGCATAGCAAGCTGCAAATTAGCTTGCTTTTATTTGCTGATGGGGTAAGATTTGTTTGCACATTGATTGTGAAGAACAGTCCTGAAGAACAGCTCTGAAACTGGAGAGATAATGTTTTATTGTATTTGTTTGTGAAGCTGCCATCCGATTTGTTCTCTCTTACAAGATGAAGCACATCTAGGCTAGATGTGGGAAGGTCGAAGTACTCTGAGGCAGAAGTGGGTAGCCGTGGCACAAAGTGTCAGCAAAATCAGTTGTCTAAATACCCAAAGCCTTTTATATAATCCAAATGTTATCGTGCAACATGATCTGATATACGTACTCCTGTTGCAGATTTTCCCCACTGTATGATCTGGCTGGTTTCCCTGTAGAAATCCCCTTTGTTGAAAACATGGGAGCAGTGGTACATAACTAGAATTTCTGACTAGAATTTCCAGGTTCAGGGTCCTCTGTGTGTGCAAGACACAGCTTGAGATTCTTAGATCTTTTCCAGTCAAGGTTGTTTCAGGTCCATATCCTAGTCTGTCCTCCCTTGATCAGGCAAATAGTTGACAGGAATTGAATATACAGTGACAGTGCAGAACATTTTCAGTGGAGATGTCTTTTCCTGGAACAAGATAAAGAATCTGAGGCAGGGCAGTGGGGCCAGGCGGGAGAGGAATGCAGTGTTAGATTCACTGAGAACCCCAGGTAGAACTCCCTGGTGTGTTGTAAAACTAACTTCCCTCACGCATGTTGTGAGGATTAAAGTTGGAAAGTGGATATGTCTTTTCTGTTGCTGCAAGCAACACAGAATAAGTGAGAGATGATTTTAAAAGTATATGTATTTTAAAAGCTTAAGGTAGATAATGACAAGAAATTAAAAGGAAGACAAGCATCATTACTAAATTAGTAGGACGTGCAGATGTTAAAACAATGGGACATTCAGGCGGCAGTGGAAAACACTTTAATACAGCAAGTGAAAACACAGATCAGCACACAAGCTAAAAAACATACACGAGTCCAAAGTTATGCTAAACAGGATGACTTTAACGATCTGGCAGAAGGCTGTTAAGTATGGGGCAAGAAAAGCCTCCCTCAGGAGAAAATTTCAGAACCTGTGCCTGGCTACTGAAGCATGTAACAAGTGATAAACACATGAATCCACAAATTTGGTAAGCAAATAGATTTGGCCCCGGTGGTAAACTTATCTAATCTTTTACTTTCTCTCATATAATGAAAGATTTGTATCTCTTTGTATTCCGTCAGAGAATTCAATGGTTATTACTCACTCAGGTGTATCTGTGTGAAGTATTTAGGTTCGCTGTTCTGTTAAGAGCAGCTGTTAAGCTTTCACCTCAGACACCGACCCCCAGTGGCATGCATTTGTGTGTATGAGGTGCGGCGGCAGTGTGCATGCCAGTAACAGCCTTGCAGTATACAAGATGTCACTCTACTGATTCAGCCCAGTGAATGCTGTCATCCTGGCTTTCAGGGACACTTACCACTGCTGCCATGCTAATGGCCCCTTTCTCTTACAGCAATGTTGCGACTGCTGTGCCGTGGGTCTGCGAGTGAAAAATGAGGGGCAGAGGTGCGAGTCCAACCCAAATCTTGGCTATCCTTGCAACCATGTGATGCTTTCCTGCTGCGAAGGAGAAGACCACCTCATCCCTCCAGAGCTAAAGAGGCACCCTGAACCACTGCCAACTTCAACACCCGAGAAACGTAAGTGTCGCCTTGTTAACCACAGGAAGCAGAAGGGGAAGCCCAGTCAACTTCTCACTTCATTAAAAACACACACACACACAACACACACACACACACAGTCATCCTGGAGATAGCACAAGGCACTCCATTGTGTGAGGCTAAGGAACTTGTTCTGTTTGGGGGCGATTTCCAGGAAACTGTCTCAAGGGCTACAGCAGCTAATTTGTCTTTGTGCAACTCTCGATTCTGCTCCTTTCTTGTCAGTTTATAGCACATTTTTTGTAGAGGCCAAGCAGGTTTTTGCAGTGGGTAATTATAGAACACACATACATACTCACACAAAGCAATTTTCCTAAGATACAGAGATGGGACATAAAATCTTGCTGAGATAGAATACACCTGGAATTCAAGGAACCATAAAGGATCTAAATTTGCAGGCACTACAGGACATAAAAACATATATCCAACACAGAGGACTGTCTGCTTCAATAATGTTACACTTAATAGTTCCTGATTTTTCCTTCTCTAGAGTTTCACTTCAGTAAGGACAAAATGCTTTTTGAAAATGCAATGTAAAGTGCTTACATTTGGCTGTCCTTCCCCTGGTTACTGTCTTTACATTGAAAAATGGGCAGTTTTGAATCAGACACCAAACAGAGTACCGACAGCATCATAAACACCTTTTGGACCAAATTAGATCACATTCCAGATGAGTCTCCTGTTGCATTGTGGTCTTGATTCCTGGTACAGTAAAAAAAACCCACAATATATCCTATCAAAAAGTAATACAGTGATACAGTGCATTAAAATTGTTTTGAAATAAAGATTTACGTTATTTTAAAGAAAGGAGTCCTATCACACTGTAAAAATATGAATATAAAATGTACCTTGAAGATGATTGTGGGGAGGGGGGCACCAAGTAGCACTGCCCTCTCTGTGATGTCCAAAACTATCATCAGGGCTGATAGCCAACATGACTGGGCTCAGGAGGCCCAGACAGGACAGGACAGAAGACAGGACAGCACGGAGGCTATATAAAGGAAGCAGGTGAGGAAGAAAGGGGAAGGGAGAGAGAAGAGGCATGGGTGGAAAGAAAGGAAAGCAAAAATGAGGAGACATCAGGCAAGAAGGGTGCCGAAAGAGAGTAATTTCTGTCAGTTATAGGTCTGCAGAGAAACCTTTGCAGCTAGCAAACAAAAGCAGCCAGAGTTGAGAAAGAGAGAACTACAGAAGCCACGGTAAGCCACTGGATTTAGGTCTATCCTGTGGAGTATCCTGGAAAAGCCCTTCTGTCAAAGGGGAGTGCCCAAAATGAGGAGAGGTGCCCTTGAGAGAATGGGTCCTGGGATCGTTTGGGAACTATGTGGGCCCAGCCCTCACTGGCATCTGATCCCATCTGGAGAGCCTACACTGGGTCCCTGACTGGGAGGAAGGTGGCATGCTCAGGATATAAAGAACATCGGTCATTTAGTCCCTCCTGGCCACATTGGAGTAGGGACAAGTCCTTGTACCTTGGTGCACCTACAGCTGTTGACAGTTCCTGGGGCTAATTGTTTATCATCTGTATATTTGTCTTGCCTCTAAGAATGAAACAAACACTGAAGACTGCCAATGAAGGTGCTATGTGTCCTTGTGTAGGAAAAGGGGACTTGATGGCCCCTGATTATGTTGCTGTCTTCTTTCTGGAGGACACAGAACAGCTGAGAGGGATAAAAAATTATTAGTTCCTGTTCCTACACACAACCATATTTGCATGATAATGTCAGCTACGACAGTACATAGTAGTAAAAATGTAAGAAGTACTTGCCATTTTCTTGCTCTCAAGTGAAAAAGCATGTTTCAAGACAATGAAAGGACCTGCTGAAAATTGTCAGCTGCTGCAAGGCGTTTTTTTTGTTTTGTTTTGATTTTACTTCTGTAAAAAAAAAATGAGAATGTGGAGAAAATGGCAATTGTTTCAGTCAGCAGCAGCATTAGCCAAATAACTGGGGCTTTCAAACCTAACGATGTTGTATTTTGCACAAATCACAAAGTTTATGTGAAAATTATCCTTTTTATGTATGCAAAGCCATTTCGAAGCCATTTCCCCACAAAAGAAGTATCAAAATGCCCCCCCCAAAAACCTACAAAAAAACTCTCTCAAAATCTCATTGGGGTGAAAAACATTGAAATTATTTTTATCGAGACAGGACTGGAGAAACTGCTCCCAATACCTCTGGAGAGATATGGTAAATCAATGTGAATGCTGCCAAACTAGATGGTCTGATTTTGTACAAAACAGTTTCCTATGTTCCTAAATCCCTCATAGGGTAGCTATTGTAAACAGAAAGTGGGTGAGACCCCTGGAACTTGCAATATATGTGCTCAGGATGCATGACACCGTAGTGAAGAAGGTTTTGCAGTCATGAATACTCCATCATATTTAAATCCAGTTTCAATTAAAGTTAGTTATATTTGCATCTTTCCCATTTTCTTATTGCAGTTTTGCTGGACTGTGTGTTGGGGGTGCAACTTGGTCCACCATGATTAGAACATAGTGAATTGGCTGAAAAATGTTATAATTTTTACTGAACTTATGTCTGTTGTGGAAGTTTGTAGATATAATATTTCCACTCTGGAGATACTGAACATTTTTTTGTTTTCCAGTTCCTGTACCTTCAGGGGCTGTATGGGGTGTAACTGAATTATTTTACCTTAATGTTCCATAAATTATGCTTTTAGAGATCATAAAGTAATAGAGTAATTAATGCAGCATACTATTATTTTTGACATTTAATTAGATCCTACGTAAAACATAACACAATGATATATTGCAGAAAAATCCAGTGTCAGAAAATAATCTGGTGAAAAAGGATGTGCATTTAATGGGATTTTTAAAGAAGAAACTTGGCAAATTGAAACTCCACAGTGTCAAAATAAAGTTTTCTAAATATAGAATCCTGATTTGTTTTAATTCAATTTAATGTTGATTTTATTTTAAATCAGAGGTGAGCAACCAGTGGGCCTCAGCCTGGTTTGAAGTGGCCCCTGACCTAATTTCAAAGAGTGATCTCTCTTTTTCTCACAAGCTTGGTAGGTGAAAAAGAAGAAGGGAATAAAAATTGAGAGAAAAAGGATGGGGGAAGAGAGAGAAGAACTAATGCCAGAGAACAGGAGTTAATAACCTGTGGCTCTGGCCACATCTGACTCATTTAGTCACACATGTGTCATGTGTTTAGTTGTGTTATCCTACTCAGAAGTTGCCATTCTGGGTCATTGTGTTCTGTTCCAGTAGGCTTTGGGGCAATATTGGTTCTTACTTGGAAAGGGTGGAAGAATGTTGCTCCTGAGGGCATTCTGTGGCTAATTGCATTAGATCCCTCTAGTCAGGTGGAATGGGTGAATTTCCATGGGCTCTCCTACTCAGAAGTTGCTATTCTGGGCTGTTTTTCACAATAATGAATTTCTGCGAATAAAGAGATAGTATCACACGAAAAAGAAAGGAAGACCACATATTGACATTAGCAAGACTCATGATCAGACAAAAAATTGAGCAATGTGCCCAAGCACTTGAGGAGACCCTTCCAGGCCCGGCTGTTGCAAATGCACTTGAATGATGGGAACATTTCAAGAATACTGTTTATAACACCACCTTGTCTACATTTGGCAAGAAGACCAAAAAGACGGCAGACTGGTTTGAAGCCCATTCGGAGGAGTTGATGCCAGCCATTGAGAAAAAGAGGAGAGCTCTAGCAGCATACAAAGCCTGTCCTAGTGAGTATAACTTGCAGGCTCTTTGAGTTGCTCGTAGCAAAGTCCAACAGACTGCCAGGAAATGTTCTAACGATTATTGGCTTCAGCTCTGCTCTCAGATACAAATATAAGTGGACACAGCTAACATCAAGGAAATGTATGACAGTATCAAGCAGGCTTTAGGTCTAATACAGAGGAAGTCTGCTCCTTTGAAGTCTGCTACAGGTGTGATCATCCAGGACCGAGCACAGCCGATGAAACACTGGGTGCAGCACTACTCTGAGCTATATTCTGGAGAGAATATAGTAACTGAAGAAGCATTAAATAACATTGAGTACCTGCTTGTCATGGAAGAGTTGGACAGCGAACCAACTTTAGCAGAAATAAAAGCGCCTTTGGATTCCCTCGCCTCTGGCAAATCACCTAGGAAGGATAACCTCCCTGTTGAAGTGCTGTGAAGGATGCAAACATCATCACATTGTACAAGAATAAAGGCAACAGGGGAGACTGCAATAACTACCATGACATCTCTCAGCGCTGTAGGGAAGCTGCTGGCCTGTGTTGTACTGAAGAGACTCCAGGTGCTTGCAAACAGAGTCTATCCAAAACCACAGTGTGGATTTTGAGCTAATAGATCGATCCACCACTGACATGGTATTCTCCCTCCGACAGCTGCAGGAGAAATGTAGGGAACAATGATAGCCACTCTTTGTGGCCTTCATAGATCTCACAAAGGCCTTTCATTTGGTTAGCAGGGACAGCCTTTTTAAAATACTTCCCAAGATTGGATGTCCACCTCAACTCCTTAACATCATCAGGTCCTTTCATGAGGAAATGAGGGGCACTGTAGTTTCTGATGGCTCAACATCAGATGCCTTTGACATCCAAAGCACAGAGAAACAAGACTGTGTCCTTGCACCAACCCTTTTTTGGGATCTTTTTTGCTGTCATGCTGTAGCACGCTCTTGGAACTGCAACAGAAGGCGTCCATCTCCGGACTAGATCAGATGGAAAGCTCTTTAATCTCTCTAGATTGAGACCAAAGTCCATCTGAAATGCATGCAGGACTTCCTCTTTGCCAATGGATAATCCTGCAAAGCTGACCACCGGTAATCACCAAAGGCAGTCCTTATCCAGAGTGCTGTTTACCCAAGGGCCAGATCTGCTGGTACATTTCCCTTCTGAGACCTACTGTATAATGCTAAAATCCCTTGTTCTACTTATGCAATAGAAAGATTTTAAAAGGAAAACTCTTTTAGATCAATGTTGTATGTATGACCCAGTGC